GCACAGCACACGGCGCATCACGATCACTCTTCCTGTTACGTTCACTCGAGTAGCTGGGATCCGCAAAGAAGCGCAATGCACACAACAGGCAGCTCACACACACACAGAGCAGCACAGAGAACCCACACGCCCGAAACAAGGAGGGAACAGCGAGGCAGCCGCAGCGCACCACACACGAAGAACAAAAAAGAGAGAAATCGCCCAGCAGAGCAAACATTTAGTGGGCGGCGCACAGCAGCACGCAAAGCAAAGCCCACACCCTCGAGAAAAAGAAACCACACCCCGCGCTCCCACAGCACAAGTGAGTACAGTCGCGGGTGAATTAAACAGCGCCCAGCCCACAACGGGGCAGCAATGGAATGAAATGAAAAACATTAATATGTGCTCAGCCTCCAGGGCCGCACGCAATTAAAAGGATACTACCGCGCTTGCACATGCACACACCCACACACAGCTCATCAGCACACAGCCACAAGGGTCATCGCTCCCACGACCAGCAGCAGCGGTGTACACAGCCGTGCATATGTGCTGCCGTCCGCCTTGCCAGCCCCAGTCCCCAGAGGAGTAGTCACATCGGTTGTTGTTGTTGTTGTTGAGGGAACTGTAGGCGTGACGGAATCGGCAGCGGCAGTGTTTGTGGGCTCCGCCGCATGCACAACATCCTCAGCTGTGGTAGGAAGGGCATCACTGCTCGTTGATTCCGCTGCTGTCTCTGTCGCATCCACAGATTCTGGCTGCACAACGCTTTTGTCTTCCTGCCTGGCACCATCCTCAGTTGGCTTCTTTTCTGCTTTCCGGCTCAGCGCGTCTTCAGCCGCCTTCGCCGCAGCTGCCGCCTTCGCCGCGGCTGTTGTAACTTCGCTCACCACCGTCACAACAACCTCCTCTGTTTTCTTCAGCTTTGTCTCGGCTTCCTTCATTTTTGTCTCTGCAGCCGTGATATTTGTTGCAGCGGAGTCTTCTGAAACCCCCTCTTGTGCCGCAACCAAGACGAAGGCATAGGCATCGCGGGCACTCACCGCTGCTTCCTTGGCGAGTTCCACGGCGCTCGTTGCGGTGTCTATTATGCTCATAGCGCTCCCCGCTGCGTCGGTGAATAATTTCCCCGCCTCCGCCGCCATTGTCTCGGCGTCCCCAAAGCCCGCTCCTTCAGCCTTCGCAGCCACCGCTGCCAACTTCGCTGCTGCAGCGGCAGCCAAGGCGGCCTCGTTGGCCTCTTTCATCTTATCTGTCAGCATCACTAGTTGCCCCTCCGCTCGAAACGAGACAGTCGTAAGATTTTTTATTTTCTCAGCCTCAGGTACCTGTTTTAACAACGAGACAAACCTCGCTCCCGCGGTAGTTTGTGACGGCTCTGTTGCTTTCATTTTTGTTATTGCCGCCTTCACTGCTGTTTTTGCGGCTTCTACATCAACCCCTTCCAAGGCACTCTTTGCGGTCCCCATCGCTTTCACCGCCGTCCTCATCTGTGACTCAAGTGCACTCGCCTCCGCTGCAGCCTCCTTTGCCGCCTCCAGAGAAAGAGCCGCTGCGCTCTTCAATTGCCCCTCACCGCTCTGCGAAAGTGGAGCTCCTGCACCATCACCAACAGCACCAGACGCAACCGCAGCCACGCACACAGACGTGCAGCAGCAGAGCGCGAGGGCCAACACGCACACCACGTGGCGCAGCATCAGCGTCAATGTAGCCTGGGACCACCTGTGTCTGCGGGGGAGAGGAGGAGCACAGCAGGTGGCACACA